TTTGGTTTGAAGTTGGGTTTTCAGTAGAGATGAGCGAATCGAACTTGGCGAAGTGGAATTCGTTTCGAATATTAGGAAAATTTTGAATCCGAAAATTAGCAGACTTCGGATGCGCGAATCGAAATTTTTCCAAAAATGGCGGCGACATGTGCGGCGACGGAGCGGGGATCTCTGGGAAGACGCTCAGACAAGGCGCGCTGACCCATAATGCATTCATTCATGACATGTGATCGCATTAGCCAATCAGCAGCCAGCCAGCACTGTGTAATGGTCGAGCTATAAATTGCGGCCATTTTAGAATTCTCCATTAGCCTCCAGTCAATCAAGAGAGACAGACCACCTGTCTGTATTGAGGGACAGAGTTAGGGCCACAGAATCGTTACTTAGGGACACAGAACCGTTACTTAGGGACACAGAACCGTTACTTAGGGCCACAGAATCGTTACTTAGGGACACAGAACCGTTACTTAGGGACACAGAACCGTTACTTAGGACACAGAACCGTTACTTAGGGACACACAATCGTTACTTTACTTAGGGACACAGAACCGTTACTTAGGGACACAGAACCGTTACTTAGGGACACAGAATTGTTACTCAGGGACAGACACAGAATTGTTACTCAGGGACAGACACAGAATTGTTACTCAGGGACAGACACAGAATTGTTACTCAGGGACAGACACAGAATTGTTACTGAGGGACACAGAATTGTTACTCAGGGACAGACACAGAATTGTTACTCAGAGGGACACAGAATTGTTACTCAGGGACAGACACAGAATTGTTACTGAGGGACACAGAATTGTTACTGAGGGACACAGAATTGTTACTGAGGGACACAGAATTGTTACTCAGGGACAGACACAGAATTGTTACTCAGGGACAGACACAGAATTGTTACTCAGGGACAGACACAGAATTGTTACTGAGGGACACAGAATTGTTACTGAGGGACACAGAATTGTTACTGAGGGACACAGAATTGTTACTCAGGGACAGACACAGAATTGTTACTCAGGGACAGACACAGAATTGTTACTGAGGGACACAGAATTGTTACTGAGGGACACAGAATTGTTACTGAGGGACACAGAATTGTTACTGAGGGGACACAGAATTGTTACTGAGGGACACAGAATTGTTACTCAGGGACACAGAATTGTTACTCAGGGACACAGAATTGTTACTCAGGGACAGACACAGAATTGTTACTGAGGGACACAGAATTGTTTACTGAGGGACACAGAATTGTTACTCAGGGACACAGAATTGTTACTCAGGGACAGACACAGAATTGTTACTGAGGGACACAGAATTGTTACTGAGGGACACAGAATTGTTACTGAGGGACACAGAATTGTTACTCAGGGACACAGAATTGTTACTCAGGGACAGACACAGAATTGTTACTGAGGGACACAGAATTGTTACTGAGGGACACAGAATTGTTAATTGTTACTGAGGGACACAGAATTGTTACTCAGGGACAGACACAGAATTGTTACTGAGGGACACAGAATTGTTACTGAGGGACACAGAATTGTTACTGAGGGACACAGAATTGTTACTGAGGGACACAGAATTGTTACTGAGGGACAGACACAGAATTGTTACTGAGGGACACAGAATTGTTACTGAGGGACACAGAATTGTTACTCAGGGACACAGAATTGTTACTCAGGGACACAGAATTGTTACTCAGGGACACAGAATTGTTACTGAGGGACACAGAATTGTTACTCAGGGACAGACACAAAATTGTTACTGAGGGACACAGAATTGTTACTGAGGGACACAGAATTGTTACTCAGAATTGTTACTCAGGGGGAGACACAGAATTGTTACTGAGGGACACAGAATTGTTACTGAGGGACACAGAATTGTTACTGAGGGACACACAGAATTGTTACTCAGGGACACAGAATTGTTACTCAGGGACACAGAATTGTTACTCAGGGACAGACACAGAATTGTTACTGAGGGACACAGAATTGTTACTGAGGGACACAGAATTGTTACTGAGGGACACAGAATCATTGAATTAAAGAGTATGTCAGACAACACGCAGAGGAGTGGCAGAGGAGGCAATGTTTTTAGGAGCGAGCAGACGTGGCAGCAGAGGAAGGGGTCGAGGCAGCACTAGTCGCAGCCAGAGGCCAGTGCTCCCGGTGTCATCCAGCGGTCGTGTCTCCACCGACAACCCTGCCGTCATCGATTGGTTGGCTCGGTCGTCTTCCTCTTCCCAGGTCACCTCTGACACCTACAGCCAACGGTCGGTGGGTACGTCAGACACAACCGTTAATTGGCATAGCCCGGGAGCAAGCCCACTGAAATCACGTGTCCTCGACCTGCCCCTGTCCTTTGGTGTTCCCTCACCCAAGCGAAGTATCGCATGCTGTGTGCTCAGCCCCACTGTACAGTGAGGAAGAGCTAACAGAGGGCGGTCAGGAACAGGGGGAGACATCCGCCTCTTCAGCAGCCAGGCGAAGAAGTACTGGCGAGGAGAGTGGCTCGGTAGCCGGTCTAGAGACAGGTCTGTCTCCTGACCCACACACGCAGCCGAGGGGGCTAGTAGTGAGGCGCGAGACCCTAATTGATGATGATGAGGCTGATCGCACTTGGCAGCCTCGTCGTCATCAGGCTATTGCTTCCGCATCATCAGGAGAAGAGGGTGCCAGCTTGGCAGCGAGCAAAACAGTCGGTGGGTTGCCCAGGAGGCAGCAGGGTCGCAGCAGTGTCAGTGGAGGCAAACGGCCACGGAGTAGAACACCAGCTCCACTGCAGCCTACCACCACGGCCAGTAGTGGTGCCGGTGTGCACGGAGGAAGTAGCAGTCAGCCAGTGAGGAGTAGCGGGGGCAAAGTTTCCTACTCGGCGGTGTGGCAATTTTTCGTCAAGCCGCCCTAGGAAGTAAACGTAGCCGTATGTCGACTATGTGGCCAGAAAGTCAAGCGTGGCCAGGGGGCCCATGTTGGGACTACAGCGTTGCGTCAGCATACGCAGCGTCGCCATTTGGTGACCGTGATAAAGATACGGCGGTTCTGCCTGCCTCCTCATGCTGCTGCCAGGTCCAGAGTGTCTCATGGGTCCCCTGTACGGCCTCCCATTGCTGCTGTCTCCATCGCCACACTCTGCCATGTGCCACTTTCAGGTCTCCTCACACTGCTGGTGTGTTCCATTTTATCATAGGGTGCTGGCAGATTACGGGCCTCCCATTGCTGCTGCCAGGCCCGTAATCTGCCATGGGCCCCCCTGTACCGCCTCCTCATGCTGCTGCCAGGTCCAGAGTCTCTCATGGGTCCCTGTACGGCCTCCCATTGCTGCTGTCTCCATCGCCACACACTCTGCCATGTGCCACTTTCAGGTCTCCTCACACTGCTGGTGTGTTCCATTTTGTCATAGGGTGCTGGCAGATTACGGGCCTCCCATTGCTGCTGAGCCAGGCCGTAATCTGCCATGGGCCCCTGTACCCCCGCCTCCTCCTCATGCTGCTGCCAGGTCCAGAGTGTCTCATGGGTCCCTGTACGGCCTCCCATTGCTGCTGTCTCCATCGCCCACACTCTGCCATGTGCCACTTTCAGGTCTCCTCACACTGCTGGTGTGTTTCCATTTTGTCATAGGGTGCTGGCAGATTACGGGCCTCCCATTGCTGCTGCCAGGCCCGTAATCTGCCATGGGCCCCTGTACCGCCTCCTCATGCTGCTGCCAGGTCCAGAGTCCAGAGTCTCATGGGTCCCTGTACGGCCTCCCATTGCTGCTGTCTCCATCGCCACACTCTGCCATGTGCCACTTTCAGGTCTCCTCACACTGCTGGTGTGTTCCATTTTGTCATAGGGTGCTGGCAGATTACGGGCCTCCCATTGCTGCTGCCAGGCCCGTAATCTGCCATGGGCCCCCGTACCGCCTCCTCATGCTGCTGCCAGGTCCAGAGTGTCTCTCATGGGTCCCTGTACGGCCTCCCATTGCTGCTGTCTCCATCGCCACACTCTGCCATGTGCCACTTTCAGGTCAGTCAGGTCCTCACACACTGCTGGTGTGTTCCATTTTGTCATAGGGTGCTGGCAGATTACGGGCCTCCCATTGCTGCTGCCAGGCCCGTAATCTGCCATGGGCCCCCGTACCGCCTCCTCATGCTGCTGCCAGGTCCAGAGTGTCTCATGGGTCCCTGTACGGCCTCCCATTGCTGCTGTCTCCATCGCCACACTCTGCCATGTGCCACTTTCAGGTCTCCTCACACTGCTGGTGTGTTCCATTTTGTCATAGGGTGCTGGCAGATTACGGGCCTCCCATTGCTGCTGCCAGGCCCGTAATCTGCCATGGGCCCCTGTACCGCCTCCTCATGCTGCTGCCAGGTCCCAGTGTCTCATGGGTCCCTGTACGGCCTCCCATTGCTGCTGTCTCCATCGCCACACTCTGCCATGTGCCACTTTCAGGTCTCCTCACACTGCTGGTGTGTTCCATTTTGTCATAGGGTGCTGGCAGATTACGGGCCTCCCATTGCTGCTCGCCAGGCCCGTAATCTGCCATGGGCCCCCGTACCGCCTCCTCATGCTGCTGCCAGGTCCAGAGTCTCTCATGGGTCCCTGTACGGCCTCCCATTGCTGCTGTCTCCATCGCCACACTCTGCCATGTGCCACTTTCAGGTCTCCTCACACTGCTGGTGTGTTCCATTTTGTCATAGGGTGCTGGCAGATTACGGGCCTCCCATTGCTGCTGCCAGGCCCGTAATCTGCCATGGGCCCCTGTACCCCGCCTCCTCATGCTGCTGCCAGGTCCACAGTGTCTCTCATGGCCACTTTCAGGTCCCTGTACAGCCTCCCATTGCTGCTGTCTCCATCGCCACACTCTGCCATGTGCCACTTTCAGGTCTCCTCACACTGCTGGTGGGTTCCCATTTTGCTGGCAGATTACGGGCCTCCCATTGCTGCTGCCAGGCCCGTAATTGCCATGGGCCCCCGTACCCACTCCTCATGCTGCTGCCAGGCCCGTAATCTGTCATGGGCCCCTGTACCGCCTCCTCATGCTGCTGCCAGGTCCAGAGTGTCTCATGGGTCCCTGTACGGCCTCCCATTGCTGCTGTCTCCATCGCCACACTCTGCCATGTGCCACTTTCAGGTCTCCTCACACTGCTGGTAGGTTCCATTTTTTCATAGGGTGCTGGCAGATTACGGGCCTCCCATTGCTGCTGCCAGGCCCGTAATCTGCCATGGGCCCCCGTACCGCCTCCTCATGCTGCTGCCAGGTCCAGAGTGTCTCATGGGTCCCTGTACGGCTCCCATTGCTGCTGTCTCCATCGCCACACTCTGCCATGTGCCACTTTCAGGTATCCTCACACTGCTGGTGGGTTCCATTTTGTCATAGGGTGCTGTATGGCCTCCCATTGCTGCTGCCAGGCCCGTAATCTGCCATGGGCCCCCGTACCGACTCCTCATGCTGCTGCCAGGCCCGTAATCTGTCATGGGCCCCTGTACCGCCTCCTCATGCTGCTGCCAGGTCCACAGTGTGTCATGGGTCCCTGTACGGCCTCCCATTGCTGCTGTCTCCATCGCCACACTCTGCCATGTGCCACTTTCAGGTCTCCTCACACTGCTGGTGGGTTCCATTTTTGTCATAGGGTGCTGTATGGCCTCCCATTGCTGCTGCCTCCACCGCCACACTGTGGCTCCACACTCTGGTTTTGGCCCCGTGACTGCCCAAATGAGTGAAGTGTGCAGTGATTCTAAGATCGACGGCACTCATCTGCATGTCATACTGACTGACAGTATTATTTCTCTTCCCCAGCAGACTCCAAGGGCATTTAAATTAAAGGTACAGTGTTCTGCACTAATATAAAGGCTCTCTGAAGCCTAGAAACACCCTTTTATAAGTTAAATTCGCAGCGAATATATTCGCCTCAAATCGAATTTATTCCTTGAATTCGCCGAATCAGCCGAATCGAATTTTTGAATACTTCGCTCATCTCTAGTTTTCAGCAATCCCAACCTGTTCACAGTTGGAAAACCTGGCAAACGAATGGGTTCTTTTGCCAATACTTTTTTTTAACAATATACTAATAATGTACTTCCTGGCTTAGAATGGTCAATAATGGGGACCTACTTATATGCCAGCTCCTTACTTACAGGCTTCCCAACAGCCCTATTGAAAATGCACCTAAATGGGTTAGTGATAGCATAGGAAGTATAGCTGATAAAATATTGTAGGCAGACGCTGTTGTCTTTAGGAATCTATTGAAAATGCAACTAAATGGGTTAGGGATAGCATAGGAAGTATAGCTGATAAAATATTGTAGGCAGATGCTGTTGTCTTTAGGAAACTATTGATTTATTAGAGATATTATATAGTGCTGACAGTTTATACATCGCTTTACATACTACACATTCACATCGGTCCCTTAAGTAGCTTTTATATTAAATTGGAAGTTTAGGCTAAATCCACTTGCCGACTGCTTAACTGGGAAAATACATCATGTTTTTTTGATGTTTTATACTTTGGTTATGGCTGCAGCTAGATGCCATAACCCTGGTATTGTTTTTTTTTCCTTTCTTTTAAAAGTGATCCGAGCAGTGGATGATCCTTCCAGTGGTTCCCAGACTTACCTGCACGATCGGTAGCTCTGGGAACTGATCCAGAACTGGCGGTGGCAAGACATAGAGATACGTGAAGGAAAGATGGCCTCATCTCTATGGCTTAGGAGGACCAGAGTGACATAATGACATCACTTCCGCTTCCAGCCGAATATCAACAAGGCCATTTTTTTTTCTTATACAGCAAAAGACCAAAACATTTTTTTTGATCCTTTGCTTTTAAAGGTAGAGGAGAGACATCATTTCCCCCCTAAAGAGGGCCTGTTTATATTCCTTGCAATAACAATAAAAGTGATAAAAAAAATGTAAAGGGACAGTGTAAAAATAAAAAAAAAGCAATAAAATAAATAATTTAGAATAAACATTTTTAAAGTGCATCTATCTCCCCGTGTTCGGGCGCAGTGGTGAATACATACACATATGTAAACGATGTTCACACAATTCTAGCACTAGACTTCCTCTGGAATTCTAAACTGGTAACCTATAGACATTTTTTAAACTGTAGTCTAAGGAGGTTTTTAAGTACCGTAGTTTGGCGCCATTCCACGAGCATGCATAATTTTAAAGCATGATATCTTAGATATATGTTTATTCAGCTTAACATCATCTTTCATATTTTACAAAAAATTGGGGTATATATTGTGTTTTTTTAATTCATTAAAGTGTATATGTTTTTAAGAAAATTTTGTTTGAAAAACTGCTGTGCAAAAACCATGTAACATAGAAAATTACAACTGCCATTTTTTTCTCTAGGGCCTCTGCTAAAATGTGTATATATAATATATATATATATATATATATATATAAAATGTTTGACGGTTCAAAGTAATCTTCTAGCAAACAAAGAATAACAGAAGAAGGCCTGGTCCTTAAGTGGATATGAATCTGCTTAAAAACACTGCTTCCCATTCCTCCTAACTATGCTGGATACTGTTTGTAAAATAAATGTGTGCAAATACCTTTTCTTAAATCTGCTTTGGTCCAGTTATATGATACAGAAGCTCTACCCCCCCCCCACCATGTCAGGGAGCACCCAACAATGGGAGTGAATAGCTGGAGCCGTGATTTTCCCTGGCAGCTTCCATTGCCCCAGCCAGTCAGTGCTTCCTCTTCTCTCATGCAGCAACTACTTACTTACACCAGGAAGCCACTGCTTCTACTGGAAGGTTACTGGACCAAAGCAGATTTTAAATTCAGTATACAGCATTAATAGGAGGGGGGGTGGCAGTTTTTTTAAGCATGTGAGTAGTTGCAGCGTGGGTTGACAGCAATAAAGATACAGTCCAGGTGCCGGTAACCTCAGAACTTGTATTGCAGACATTGCCAACTACAGACAACCCCAGACGGAGAGAACCACTTAGGGTAACACTCACAGTTCAGTTCAGTGCAGAGAGGCTGCGGGAAAAGATGAACTGACAGCATCTGTCTTCGGAGGGTGGAATGCAGCCTGGCTGGACAGGTCTCTGAGGGGAGGCTTCAGTGCAGAATTGCGAGTGCCTCTTTACGAAGATTCCTTGGACATAGCCACCCGGGTCATCTTCTGTTTCCGCTCACGCGTAATAGTGCTTGATAGATTATTTTTGTACGACTGTCATACCGCCGCATAGAAAATCGGTCGTTCATATGTGAAACAACAAAATTTTTCACTGTTGTTCAACTGGATTTTTTCGTTCACAATATCGTTATCGGTTAAAACATCCTGCTCATCAACGAAGAGAAAATTGTTTGATCAGTAGTTCCGCAAAATTTTTCAGATGATTTTCTTATCTTGTGTTTGGGGCATTACGGATACAATCGGCCCCTTGAGGGCGACCATAATGCTGATGTGTCCCACAATGAAATTGAGTTTGACACCCCTGCTTTACAGGATCCTAGTAAAAAAAATAATAAATGCACATTTTTATACTTGTAAAAAGATGTGAATTCATATTTTTTTTACAAAGGCAAACTGTTCCTTTAACCACCTCCCGTCCAGCCCATGTATATAAACGTATATAAACGGCCGGACGGTGGCAGTGCAGGGTCGGGTGGCCATTTATAAACAGCCTCCCTGCACCCTGCTTGTGTGTGCTCCCTGGGACACAGTGGAACACCAACCGTCGGACGGGACCTCTGAGCGAGGTCCCGATCATGTGATCACTGATTGGCCAATCAGTGATGACATGCAGAGTAGTAAGCAAGATGTCATTTGTGACATAATTGCTTAACACGTGTGAAATCTGTGAATGATCACAGAGGTCACATGGTACAAGGCTATTCAAAACAGCCTTGTACCATGTGACAAGCTGTGACCAATCACAGCTCACTCAGTAGTTCTCAATGGCTACAAGAATGCAGCTAGAGAGAAGGAGGAATGATTGCTTTTACAGCCTTTATGGGTGTAAAAGCAATCAGTGTAAGAAAAAAAAAAAAACTTCATCAAAATCCCAGTGGTGAATAAATACCACCAAAATAAAGCTTTATCTGTCTCAAAAAAATGCTAAAAAATTGGGTACAGTGTTGCATGACTGCGCAACTGTCATTCAAAGTGTGATAGCACTGAAAGCTGAAAATTGGCCTTGACAGGCAGGGGGTAAAAGTGTCCGGACTGGAAGTGGTTAAGTTCTTGGTGCTGAGCGTATACCAGGCAATTGTTGCTAACAGTCTGCCAAGAGCTTATTTTTTTCATAATTTTAAAGAAAAAAAAATATGTGCAATAAGCTTGTGCAACAAAACTCCCTTACATTACATCACTCACATTCCTTAGATCTCTCTATCCCTATAGATAAAATAAAAGTTAGACATACATATTAGACCTTTTATCCCTGATTAAAACTGTGATGATGCTGGTCAGTTTTACATAGCTGTATTCTCTGTGGTATGTTTCCTTTTATAACAAGATGCAAAACTACTGGATATAAGTGTAGAGATGTGCTGGTTGCTTTACATCTTAAACAGCAGTTGCAAAGCATTTTTTTACCTTTTCTCTCTTTGTGAGTGACCGACAGGAAAAGCAGGACTGTGCTCTAATTGGTTGTTGCTACAGCTGAAAAGGATCCACCCATAGCAGCACTGTTGCAGCTGAATTTATGATTGGATGTGGAGGAAAGGAGAGAGGAAAAAGGAAGAAGAAGCACATGTGGGGAAGCAGACATGTTCAGGGGACCGCAGGGGCTCCTGATGTAAAGTCACAGAGTCACAGAGGCTCACTCTCTGTGCTTCTGGAACCCATAAACTGGGCTGGGAGTGTGTAGCAGAGGAATTGTTACAGGAGGACAGTGTGCAAATCAAGGATTGCCCTGCCTGACACTCAGGATTACAGTCACTCAAGTGCATGTATCTCTCAAAGTCTGGAGCTGCTGAAAGAGAGATGATTTCTACTGCTGTCTAATGCTATTTAGAGGACAAACCAGAAACAGTGAGTACTCTGTGATGAAAGGGGATTGTGATATTGCTGCATTTGCTGTTCATCTCTGGAGAATGGTCATGAGAAAGCCTGCTCTCTAATTCTCAGTGACACAGATCTTCGAAAGCCCGAGCTGCTCAGAATTAGCTATTCCTGCTGCTGATTGATGAGAGAACTCTGTCTCTGTATATTACTGGTGATTGTCTCCTCACGACTTGTGCTGTGGCTGAAGAGTGTGTTTAAGTTCCAAATCCCCACAGAAGCTTGCTGCTTTGAATATACTGAGCAAGTGTCAGTATATCAGGATTTCACCTGTATGGTAAAGATTTGTTGAAGTGTTGTTTTCTTGTATTGCAATGTTCACTGGAAGATTCTGCTTAAAGAAGACTGTGCTATCCTGCTACCCCTGGATTGCAAATACTCTCCCATGCAGAGAGTGAGCGCTCTTCCATTGATTAAAGGGCCCCAACATTGAGAGACTTTAAGTTTCATCTCACTGGCCAGTGGTTAGGTAGGATATTTCTGCTCTAGATAGTACTGCTATAACAAATGTCAATAAGCTGCTAAATCTCATTAACAGTTATTGTTTCATGTGTCAATGTCACTCTCATATGTCACCCTAGTCAGTGTGATACTAGTCAGTTTTTGGAGAATTTGGCGAGTGAATTGTGACTTCTTACTAACTGTGTTATGGAAAGTGGTATCTGTGTTTTATGTACATTACCTGTGTTAAATCAGCTAGTTCTTTTTCAGGGTTTGTCTTCTTCAATAAAACCCATAAAAAATATTCTCAGAGTGTCGAAGTGTTCTGGGTATAATCGGAGGTGTCACCAGATTGAGGTGGGAGCTGAACCTATATATCT